CACACGAATGTCAGATGAGATTGTGCACAACCTGGATGGCTGCGAGATCTCATTGGTAGGAGATGACTTGGACCCAGAGAGGGAGTATCTGCTCCTGGATGGGGCACTGCTGCAGCAGCGGGGCCTGGAGCTTGTTAACACCTCTGCATACCTGACCATCACAGGTATGTCCTCTCCTTTGCCACAGCCATCTAATTATGCCTGTCTCACTGCCTGTCAGACATCGCTCGGAGAAGCACTTAACCTGATGTTGGAGACACATCTGTGTACTTTGTGAGACTCTGAGATGTAACCATTTATTGAGCTCCTGGCTTCTGGAAGTCCCCCCAGGCCATCTCCTTGGGGAGTTGGCTCCTCCAGCACACAGCATGGTGTCTGAGCTCTGACCCAGGCTTCTATCACTCCTCCTGACTTACTTCCATTGCCCTTGGGGTTTGGTGTTAGATGCCAGCAGCATTTTGTGTGATGTGACTGGGGGACAGCACATCCCACAGGCTGCAGGCTGGTACAAGACTATTGTACTTTCCAGAACTTAACAGGGCTATTGCTCTTGATTCTTCTTTCCCTTCCACGTGTTTTAGCAATGCAAGCAGGGATTTCATCAGGTCCTTTGCAGCCAGCTCCCGCTCTGCTCCCTTCCCCAAATGAATCAATCTAGCATTGCCTTGGATTCTTCTGTATTTCCTAGTTGCTACAGCATTGTGATGCCAGATGACTTTGAAGCTTCCTCACTCCACACCAATTCTCTCTTCTTGTCTCAGGTGTGGAGAGCATTGCAGTTTATGAGGAAATACTACGCCAGGTCTCATACCACATCAACCATGGTGCTGCTCTTTATGAAAGGAAGTTTCACCTGTCCTGCACTGAGATGAATGGACGCTACTCCAGCAATGAGTTTACTGTTGAGGTACAAGATCAATACATGGACATATAAGTGCTTGCGCATGCATGGAGAGGACATGGTGGACAGGAATGCGGACAATGTAGAAAGTATTGCAATGAACACAGGGCTGAGCCTCTCTCACTCTGGTCTTTCTGTAGGTGAATGTCCTCCACAACATGAACCGAGCTGCTCATCCTAACCATATTCTGAGTTCTCAGCAGTTTGTGCACCGAGGTCATCATTTACCCCCAGAGCTATCTGGGCACAGCTTGGCAAGCACCCATAACAACCCAAGTATGTAAGACTATCTTTTGGTTTTATTCTTTTAGGTCAGGATGATGATTTTTCTGATATCCTGGTAGAACCTATAGCAGAGGATTCCTTTCAGGCTCCCTATTACCCATGTTATCGAGTTCTCATTATACTGTCCTGTCCTCCCACTCCTCATTAGCAAATGGACTGAAGCCTGCATCAAATTGTTTTTTAGAGCTTGGTAGAACAATCCTCCTCTTTCTGTGTGTTGTTTTCTTGATGTAGAAGCAGTCTGAATTCTGCGCCTGACAAGGTCTAAAAAGAACAACTGTAAGCTGGTACAATTATTTCATTTGTGCACTTTGCAAAGGTGCTATGTGGGCTTGGGTAATGTAATTTCAGAAGGAAACTTCAACAGCAGAAGAGAAACAAGAGAATCAAGAGTGCTACTGCTCTAAAAAAAGAGATGGAACTAGGTGGTGATCAGCAAGGCAGAAAAATACAGGAGACAGCACCACACAGAGAAGAGGAGGATTCTTGCCCCCAGAACAGAGGGGAGAGAGAAGCCTGAAAGCTAGAGATTAGATTTGCTGGTTTGCCCTGGCAGCCCTGTCCCACAAGCATGACTGCAGTCTAATTGGCTCCTCCTAGGCTGTGAAAGCTCTAGGAGTGTTACAGAGGACCCTGCATTGGTCTTGGCCCCCCTGTTGTAGGGAACATGGAAAGCACCTTTGGTGCTAGCTTTTGCTGCAGCTTCCTGCAGCAGCTGATCCCAAGCTGGTCCAGTCCTGCAGCCGACACTGAGCCACTGCGGGGACAGCCTGCGTACATGCTGGGAGAGCACCAAAACCCAGCCTTTGCCACTCCCTTCCCCAGCTCTGCCTGATCGCAGCAGAGAAGAAGTTGTCCCTGCTGCACGGAACCACCCAGAACAAATAGATGGAGGGCCTGGAAAGATTTGCAGGGAAGGGGGTTATCTGGGGAGTCAAGGCTTGGCCTACAGGTCTAGAACAAAGGGGTGGGCGTTGGGCTAAGGGTTTTAGATGAATTTCAAGTTTTCTCCTGTGGAGAAGCTGGGCTTTGACCATGGCACTAGTTAGAAGGCCATCACAGCCCTCACCTCTGCCCCATGTGCAAAGCAGGCTTCTTTTGGCTTCCTTCCTTCTCTACTGCTTGCACAGAAACCACACCATCTGAAAATCATCCTTGTGCCCTTAGAGTCTCCCCAGCACACATTTCTCCCTCCCAAGGGGAGAATACAAATGGCTGCTCTGCAACATATTCCAGTGACTTTTGTAGATGAAGATGTGTAGTCTACAGGCAGTGCCGATGTCAGAGGACGCCTGGACCTAGGCATCTGGGAAAACTGTGCAGGCCTCAAGCAAAGATACAGCAGCTGAAGGCAGGAACTGCCTGTGCCCAGGGGAGCAGGAAAGTCAAGACATGTGCCTGCCTGGACCAAAAACCCAAGCTCTGCCCAGGAACCCCAGTTCCTGCAGGTCAGGTTAGAAATGCCTGTTTCTGTGACAGACTAACCATGCCTTCTCGTTTTCTTTCTCCAAAGTGGTCCCCAGTGCTGCCACTGTCATCATTGTGGTGTGTGTGGGCTTCCTGGCACTCATGGTGATCCTTGGCATCCTGCGCATCCACTCCCTGCACCGGCGGGGAGTGGGGCAAGAGGTCCCTGGGGCTGCTGAAGGAGGGCACGCAAGCACCGGAGGCAAAGAGAGTGACATGTTCTGGGATGACTCAGCCCTCACCATCATAGTCAACCCCATGGAGGTGAGGGGCAGCCACAGTGGCTGAGGCTGGGAGGGCAGCTGGGTTGCCAGATCCTTCCCCTTACACCATGTCTCACCTCCCCAGTCCTACCAGAGCTGCCAGGAGAGGGCAGCAGAAAGCGGCAAGGGCAGAGCTAGTGAGGGCATGGAGGATGAAGATGACAGCACCGATTCGGAGACACCTGACTCCCCGGACAGCAATGACGTGGATGACCGACACATCATTGGCAAAAGTGATGGCTCTCACCGCTACTAGGAGCTTTAAAACACCAGTCCAATGGATCTCCTAAAACATGTGGCTGGAAGGAGGAGGTGTCTTATTTTTGACTTCTTCCTTCCCCCACCGTGTACACATGCTCTCCTCCCTCATTTGTCATTTCTGCCTCCCATGTTCCTTCATCTTCTGCCATTCGCATTGTGGACATTCCCCACATTACTGACCCCCCCATCTGGCTCTCTAGAAACATGACAGTGGCACAGTCCAAACTATGAGGAAGGAGGGGCTTGGAAAGAACAGAAATTTGGAATGAGGAGCCAGCCATAGGGCTCAGAGTGGGGTCTCTCACAACCCCTACCCAGATATTATATATATATATTGTATATTTTTTCAATGTTGTCATTTGAGGTTTATTCTCGTTTCATGCAAAAAAAAAAAAACAAAACCAAACCACTGCAGCTTGTGTCGCTTTGTAAAATTGTCGATACTCCTAAACTAAATGAATGAAGGTAAGAAGGATGAGGAAACAAAGTGGATTTTAAAATAAATGGATTTCAAATAAAATGTTCAGGGCTCCTGCAGTTTTTCTCTACAAGCAGGGAAAGAAACAGTCACTGTAGCCTCTAATGTGAGACTGGAGATTGTCCAGAGCATGTATTTACTGAAATTACTGCCTTATCTTGGGGAAGGGTTACATTTTTTAGTGAATGTGTTGGAACAAGAAAACACATCACCCCTGACTGTACACCCACCTTTCTGAGAATCCAAATTCTCTTTGTAAACACAAATGTAGCCTTCCCCAGGACACAGGCCTAGGAACCCAGAGATGAACAGAAGGCATCCCAGCCTGTCACAGGCAAGTGTAACGAAGCGAACTGAATTCTTGATTACAGAAAAAAATAAGGCTCTTCCCATACACTTGGTGTACCATCAACAGAAACAGGCCAAATCCTCAGCTTCATCCATCGTTTCACCTAATCCACTTTCTTTACCAGCATAAAGAGTATTTTTCACACCAGGGGTTTCAGCTTGTAGCAGAACAGCCCCAGCACTTCTGAGGGAAGGAGGTGTCCTCCTCTTTCTGTTGGGAATGGAGGGGATGGAAACACAATAGATACTGGCAAAGCATAGCTATTAGCCCAGTAGCATGAGTTGTTAGGGTAGTGCTTCATAGCAGGTTGTACTTCTTCCCTTGATCTACTTGGTCTGATTATTCAGATCCTGCTAGCCAGAAAGAGGCTGTCAGCTGCCTGACACGACTTGGGGCAATGGCTGCAACATGTTAAGGACCCAAGAGGAGATTCTGCAATAGGACATTTGCTGCCAGCCAAGGTTGAGAAATCCTCCTTAGGGGCAGGAATGTGGCACAGTAGGTGAGAGTGGAAGAGCCCCTGAGGGCATGAAAGGTCTCAGCACAAGATCTTTGCTTGCTGCAGCTCTCTCAGATGTCTCAGCTCTAGCCCATCTTCACATCCAACTGTGCCCACAGATGTTACTGGCTCCAAAAGAAGTGAACATGCTGAGACTGGCTAAGATACTCTTATGCTTTCTCCTTTGTCTCCTTCCCAGTTAAGTTCCATGCCCTTGTTTTATAGAGGGAGCTTACAGCAGGCACTGTCAAACCAGTGCCCTGACATCTTCAAGCACTGGAATAATTCAAGTCTCCAGAAAGAAGAAAGGCTACACTGTGCATATCAGAGCCAAAAACTTTGCACAAAATAGTCTTACGTCCTGAGAATGCTATGCCTGACCCAGTTCTGATATGCCATGGAAAGCACCACCTCCCGGAGCATGGAAAAAGACCAAGTCTCAGGACCATGAGGTCCCTGTATCTCTACAGCAGCCTCAGCCAGGTGCTACAGTGTGCTTACAAGGTGGAAGAGGCCAAATGTACAATGAGTTCATAGGTAGCCATCACGATAGCTGTGTTTGGGATCTGGCGGATCAAGTGAGCCAGAAGCCCTCGGTATAAAGCCAAGGGTCCCTCTTCATGGACCACCAGCTGCAGAGTCTGTATAAAGGAACGGTATCGTGTCCCTTCTTCTCGCAATCGTGTCCGAATGACCTCTGGACAGACAAAAAGGGAAGTGATATTAGCAGATTGATCCTACAGGCATGGCATCTGCCATTGAGGGGGACAGAAGCAAGGAGAGTGGACCCACTCACCATGTGGATATGCAATGCACGAGGCACATGTTTTGGAGACAGCAGCAGCTCCCATTAGTCCAAAGAAATCATGGCTGTTTGGTGAAAGTGTGAGCGGTGGGGAAAGGGAATGATGGCTGTTTCTCAGCTGCTGTTTCAGTGCTTCATAGATGACAAAGTGTATGATGGTCTCTGACACTCCAGCATAGGAGGCAGTGATACCACGGTAAAATCCACGAAGGCCTTCAGTGCGGTACACATGCATGGCACACTGGAGAGCATTGCTGGCCACCTCCCCCTTCACCCTGTAAAGAGGAGGGAGGGTTACAACGGCATACTGCTCCACTAACCTAAAATGCTGTTGTGAACACAACTGTATGACTCTTCCCCAGCATGCCTTGAAGACCTATGTTCTGATGGCAAGTCACGGATCCCTACCCAACCCCACCCCCAAACCAACCAGTCCTGATTTGACAGAGTGGCTCTGCATTGCTAGCCTGCCTTACCTGGCTTCCAGCTGCATCCTGGTTTTCACTAACCAGATAGGGTTGGTGAGTGTGGCAGAGGTAATGCCTGGAGAACAGAAGAGGAAGACAGCCATGAGCACCAGGATCACGCTAACAGTTTGTGAGGAGGTGCTAATCTATCAGCTCTCTGAATTCTGCTTGGCAAGCTGCAGGCATTTTCAATTTGAGAATGACCTTGAGCTGCCGTGGGAGAAGAGACATTTAGGACAGACTATCTGATTCTCCTCCTCCCCCATTCCAGCCTTTGTCTGGTGGTAATTAGCTCCTCTGCCTCCAACATAACCCTACTACAGGCCCTGGTGTTACAAAGAGGCAGGAAACAATGGGCTAAACTTCCATAAGAGTGGAAGATTTCGTTAGAGAACTGGAATATATAAAGAGAAATGATTCTGTAGGTGGTCTAAATTACACACTGCCTTCTCCCTCTCAGAGCTGAATGGAGCTCTTTTCCTGATAGCAGCTCAAGGGGTAAAGACTAGATCCTTGACTTGAAGAGATGAACCTAAGAAGAATGAAGAGCGAGAAAACATTTTGGTTACCCAAGGAACTCACTGCTCCAGGTGTGGAGGGAGAAAACTTCAGATGGGAGAGCAGGACTGATGGGAGCAGCAATGGGGAAGGAATGAAACCTGTTTACACTTGCAGACAGAAGGACCCCTTGGCTCTGATTTGAGACAGAAGAGGCTCACCTGCACAGGCTGCTGATAGCATGTGTACTTTCTTGGACTCCGGTACAAGGACAGCATTGAGCCTCTCCTTAACACCAGAATAGGCAGCAAAATATATAGCCCTGGTTGGAAAGAAATACAGAAGAGGTTACAGCTCCCCTATGAGGAGCAGAGACAGCACTCATATGGGGTCTCACTCCAACTTTTCTTACTCCCAGCACAGGTTTGTCTAATGTGACATCAGATACCATTTATACTAAGCCCTCAGCAATCACCTTGTCTTAAAACTATGATCAGAAGGTCCAGAAAATGTCTGTGTGAAGGGGTCCTGTGGCACGATAAGCACAAGGCCCAGACTGCTTTCAGAAAGTGGAGCAATAGCTGTCACGGAGGTCCTTTAAAAAGTGTACAGCATGAGCTGTCCTCAGGGAGCAGTACTCACCGGGAAGGAGCAACCCCAACAAGGTTTGGACCCAGACCTCGGAACAGGGATCGCATGCCTTCCTTCTCAAGGATGGCCCTACAGAAGGAAATGAACAAAGAAATCAGCAGAATAACTAAGCTGGGGGTTCTCCTGTTCCTCCTCCTCCTCCTTCGTTCTTCAGTACTTCTTGTAGCATCCTCTCCTCAACTCCCATGTTATCCTTTTTTTGCCCTACTCTCATTTTCTCTCCAACCACTTCTCCTCTCTCCATCAGTCATTTCTTCCTATTCTTGCTGACACCATCACTCTGGGTCTGATCAAACTGCTAGCTGAAAAATTTCTCACAGTCCCAAAAGCTGCCTTGCAGACTCACAGTTCAAAGCACAGATCAGCTGTGAGAAGTAGATGTACCTGTGCTCTGATGAAACTTCCTACCCCATTTGCGGTTTCCAGAGCCTCAGCTCAAATTCTACTTCCATCTCCCTGCCCCCGCCGCCTCTCTCCACCTGATGGCCAAACCTTCACCTCCTTGGTGCTAACATGCATGCTGCCTTACCCTACTCACCTCAGCAACTTGAGCACTCCAGGAGATGGTGGGGTGACCTGGCAGCTGTATCTCTGAGAGGCACAGAGGCCGCAGTGTCAGTTGGGATGACTGTAGACGTGTCTTCACCACTTCCAGGGGACAGGTCAGGATGGCTCCAGCTGTGCCACCACATCTAGGGCATAACAAGGGCATAAGAGCACATGTAAGAATGACCCCTGTGCGGGAACAGGACAATAATTCTGACCCTGCTCATCCACAACCTCTCCCCTCTAGGAGAGGAGGTTAGGTCCCACAGCCTGCGTCACACATGACCTCCTCCTCTGACATTGATTAACGTAATAATGGCTTAGCTTGGGACATCTCCTGGCAGCCTCACTCTGAAACCTCACTCAGTATTTGAGACAAACAGACCCAAGTCCACAGGGACTCAGCATTCCCTCAGCTCAAAGCTGCTGATCTTTGCATTCAGAATTTCCCAGAGCAAACATTTCTGCTGCCCAACCTCGCTGCAATGCCTTCTACTGAGATCACCAGGCACTGTGCCTCACACCTCCCACAGCAGCATTGGCTCAGAGACGGGCAGCACAAAACTCTCACGCCCCTCAGCCTGCCTGTATCTTCAACCCATAATCCATTCGGACCCGCATTTGCAAGGCCCTGTAAGCAAGATCTGTATTTTCTGCCAACAGCCAGGCTCACCCCCAGCCTGACTTGCTTAATGAAAGAGGACCCTGACCTTCAGCAGACAGAAGCTATTTTTGGAACTCATGAACCATCACCATCAATCAGTCTAGCTACACTGCGGTAACGCTGAAAGGACATGTATTCCCTTTTTCCCTTTCTGCCACCCAGGGACAAGTCAGAAGCAGAGAACCGATACGTTCGGTTCTCAGCTTCCACCCCTTCAGATCCTTTGACTGACAACTCTGTTCTTCTAGACAATGCTCAGTACCTGACAGACTGTTTTGAGATGAATTTGCATAGAACAGCCATGCAAGAGGCTTTGATGAACAGACAGATGTTTGTATCTGCTACAGCCAAACTCACTTTGTTTCACAAGAGATGGAGGCTTAAAAAAAGGTCACTCTGCTCCAAAGAAAGAAAAAACAACCAAAGAACTACAAGATATCAGGGGAGAATCAAGTATATCAACGGATTTGCATATGATGTACAGGACAGCAAATGGCTAGAGTTCTGAAGAATTATTTTGAAAAAGCCTATACAGCTCAGTGCACACACACATTGCTCTCATAGCCTTTGCTCCTAGGGCTTCATTTATTACTGCCTGCAGGTCAGGGGAAAAAGAAAAAAAAGAGAGGCCTGGATGCCTATTGCAATGAAGTCCAAGAGTTGAAGATCTGGCAGCCAGAAAGTTATGCAGCTAATGATGCCAGCAACTAGCAGCTAGTTATGCTACTCCATTACACTCATGCTGCTTTGTCTAGCGCTTTGCAAATCTACACAGTGGTGATGACTTGCAAAGCAGCCAATCAGCAGCAATTTTCCTCAGGAGATACGGTGAGTGGTGGGAGTCTGGGATCAGGTGGAACATGACCAAAGAACTTAGCTGAGGCTCAGAAGACAACACAAAGCAAAAGCAGTAAACGTCCTGGCTCAGGTTCTCTGGATGAACAAGCTGATCAAGCACGGACACCAAGACAGCCTACGTAGCAATCCAGGAGTCGCACGAGGCGGGGCTTCCTTTTACAAAAGCCATGTTGATTTTTCCCATGTAGACCATATTCATTCAGGGGTCCAACAGTCCTGTTCTTTACCATAGTTTCTACTAATTTGCCTGATACAGGCTCCAGGCTTACAGGCCTGTTGTTTTCTTGACCAGAAGTGTAGTTTCCATTTCAGGAGAAGATTGAGTACAGCTGTGACAGATCAAGATGTCTAAGAAGTCTGAATAGAGCAGTTTCAACTTCTTACCTAAAAGCTGAGCAAACACTACAACAGAACAACACTTACAGAAGCAATTGCTTGGTATCCTTAAGAGTCTTCTCTCTAACAGTGCATATGGAGGTGCAACTTTATGTAACATTTTCACAGTATCTCATTTCTTCAAGAAGTCCCTACCTGAGCATGGTCAGGATATGAACTTGAACCCACGCCTCTAGCATATATATAAGTTTCCTGAGTTCAAGTTCCTCAAGCTACTGATACGTACAGATAATAGAGAAGAATTTTAAAAGCAATAATAAGAGTTAAAGAAATTGTTACTCCTTAGCATGGTGGTCATTTACTCAGCAGTAAGAGAGTCTGAGGTAAAGGGAGACCTCTGAGCCACTATGGCTCAATGGCTAGACTAAGGAGAGGATTTTTCAGGAAGAAAAGAACACTCACTAAACAAACCTAAGGAAATAAGGTGTACCAGTTGTTCAAAACTAGATGAAGTCTCAACTATGATGTCTTATCAAGCACTGCATGATGATACAGCTGCTCACAATGTATGAAAGCCATAGGTCTCCAAAATCATTCTCTTTCAGGAGAAATGGAAAATTATGTACTCTCATCACAAAGAGATGAACTATTTTTCAGTCCAATACTAATGAAGGCAAAATTGAACAAAATCTAGTCAGAACAAACATTTTAAAATCAGCAGGTACAAAAAAAATCCATGACCATGGATATTAAAAATAGCTGATTGAGGAGACTTCATACCTACAGATTTAAATGCTTAAGAAATGTTAGGGGACTGGGGAAATACACTCGCCTAGAAGACTTCTAATGTCTACCAGGACTAAAAAAAGAATTGTATTTGTAATAATTTATGCTGCTAAGGTTATACGGTTATATGACCTGAGATTCAGGCCAGAAGAGAATTACAGTATCAGATCACTGTAGACTTAAAAGACACTTTGTACTAATCAGTGTTGGTGGGGGAGGCTATATTGTTTGGGGTTTTTTTAATGGAACTTATCAAACAAAAGCTGGATTGACAAAAACAACTACAAAGACATACTGCAGTTTTGCAAAAACTGAGCTTGATAACTCACAAAAACACACTTAGAGCCTTAGCACTCCATCTACAGCATAGATGCTAAATGTATCAGGCAACAAAATCAGGCAACAAAATCTCAAAAAGAAGAAAAAAAAATCTGCCCCACTCTTTCCCTGCCCTGAAACCAGCTGTCAGTAAAGAATCCAACAGCAGTGGTCCAGCAAGAGTCTAGGAAAATCACTTCTAGACTAGACCTAACAATTTTCAGTTTTTCCACCAACAAATAGGAGGTAACATTTTACTCTTGATAAAATCCATGGGTGACAAAGATTGTCACAGTACTGAGCAAAGCTGCAACAACTGGCAAATAACAAAAAACCACATGGAACTGAGTAGTCACCAAGGGTCCTTACGCTGGGCTTAAACAGACTGGTTTAACAAAACCAAAACCCTTAAGTCATTACTCTAGAAGCAGGAACAAAAGCAATTCTTGCAAAATATGATGAAGAGCAGCAGTTGACAACCAGTACAACATGTACTCCCAGAGCAAAGCAGTGGCAAAATTGCTAATTAAAGAAGGCAGGTAATTTTACCTTAGAAAAAAGTAGTTGCCTCTAGATCTTGCTTTCACATTTTAAAAGGAAATCTGGAAAGTTTGAGGTGGCAGAAAAAGAGGATTAGTTGAGAGAAATAAAAAATCACTATTAACATTTTTTTCAATGACCTGAAAAGGGCATGGGAACATGCACAGAGGTGACAACATTTACTGGTAGTTCACATTTTAGCCCTTACTCAGGCTAGCCAAAAATTGAGATGGCTTGAAGATCTTCATTTAAGAACAGCAATGCTAGGTCAGACAAATCTGCAGTTAAACCACGATTCTGCCTAGGGGACAGACAAATAAAGATCACCTATGGAAGAGTAGGAGAAATACTCATCTCCCAAACACTCTCGCAGCTTCCTGCAATTTTTGGCTCAGCGATTTCCTCAGCCAGAAATGTTGCATTGCATTTAACAGCCTTCAACACATTCTTTTTCACTAGTCTTTTGAAAATGCTTTCTGGACACATAAAAAGCTTCTACCCTCTAATAGCCTGTGGCCAGGAGTCCCACAGTTTAACTACACACTGTGTTGAGACCTATATTCTTGCATTAGTTTTGAACAAACTTCTCAAGTTTCATTCGATGGTCCCCAGTTCTCGTACTAGAAGATAAAGTGAACAACTGTTCCTTCATCAGTGAGATCTGTTTCATTAGGTAAAACGACATTAACTATATGCTGTAGCAGTAACCTGAACTTCTTATTCATCTCTTATTCATCTTATTAATCTCTTGTGTTTTAATTAATTGTAATTCAAGGATTATTGCTCAGTGGGTGAAGACAGGATACAGACTGACAAAGCCCCCACTAGCAATGCTCCTGTCACTAGCCAAACTCTCACAGTTTTTCAGGAACCGAAGTGGAAAACAAGGAAGAGGGAAAGCTTAAGAAAGCTAAGAAATATGAAAAAATACATTAAGAAAGGCTAAGATGCAGTGACTATATAGTTCAAAGGACAAATTAATAAAAGAGAATAACATGTACAAAATAACACTGGGAACAGAGAGGGCAAGTACATATAAGCAAAGATCGACATAGCACAACAACTGCATTAGCTGCAGAAAACTGGAAATTTACTAATTAAGAGCAATTAAATGATGTGCTTTATTGCACATGCTATATTGTGGACCTCACTGTCACACAGACTCCAACAGGCTGGTGGAATTTGGAAAGGGATTAGGTAGCCATCTAGGCAAGGGAGTTGTGCAGTTACTCAGCAAAGTCCGGAGGACCACAATACCTTCTGCTTTAGGACATCATAAACTTGAAGCTCATTGTTTTGAGACTTAAATGATAAATATTTCTTAAGGAGAGGAAGGGTGAAATGCCATGCGAGAAGCGACTGGCTCGAGGGCACACTGCGAATTCAGAGGCACTGCTGGGATCCACGCTCCAAACACCTGACTGGCCAGCATCAGCCACACTATTTAAAGCCAGAGAAGACATGCAGGAATCTCAGCCACGCGATGATGGAGGGTTGGCTGCCCTCCTAAAGACAAGGATGCTCCACCATTTGCTCCGCCGAAGGGGCCTTGCGGTGCCTCTCATTCCCCCGATCCGCACCCCGCTTCCTTTGCCCCCACGATCTCCAGTAAGCTCAGGCTGGATGAAACGCCAGGCGAAAGCCCCCATGACTCACGGGGAGGCTCCCCTTCTTCCCAAACTGCAGAGCCATACGTCCACCCCGGCACTGAGCGGCTGCGCCACACCAATGCACCCACATTTGAACCTGGCACGGCAATGAAAGCGCGGGTGAGGGTTATGGGGCACAGGCAGCCCCTGGCGTGGGGCAAGGCAGGGTCTCC